AAAAAAAAAAAAAAAAAAAAAGATAGACTGGTGTGGGGCCTGTAGAGCCCACCAGCTGGGAGGCCTCGTGGAGTTGCAGGACCCAAACTCAGGAGCAGGTAGTATGGGGAGGAGGGTGTGTGGAAGTCCCAGGGCACCCCAAAGTCCAAGGGAAAAACACTGATTCTCCTCTGGCCTCAGGAAAAAAAGGTGCTAAGCACACCTACGTGATTGGAAACCACAAACATGTTCCATAGACCTGAGAATGTTCCAGAAGAGGGAGACAACAGTTGGAGGGGGCAGGGGGCTGTGGGGTGGGCAGGGACCTGAGTCCAATGAGGGTCATAGAACAGACGTCAATGACCTGGAATCCTTATCACCTGGGCCTCTCTTTACATACAGTGTCCCCTCTGCAAATTTAACTGAGCAGAGGCCAGGCCAAGGGTCAGGGGCCAGTCATGCCCCCTCTGCCGGTCTCTGTCAGCTCTGCTGCCCTCCTGGCCAAAAGCCAGCTCAGCATCTGCCCATTTGGTCCCAACCGAGACAGGCCCCTCTCCCCAGGGACACTTACAGAGTCCTTCATCCTGGGGCACTTGGAGCCTCTGTGTATGATCAGCCTGTCTGGCCCTGGCAGCATGATTTGTGATTTTCCGCCTCCACACTGTTGCTAATTGCCCTGGACCAGGGAAGGATGGATGGGGGAGGGGGCTCTTTAATCCCATCATACCCAAGCAGGGGATCAGGCTGCCAGGAGATGACTCCATTTACCCAACTAACGTCAGCAAAGCCCTGGGCCTGGCCTGGCCTTGAGGAGGGGTAGGTGTGGGAGGAAGTACTGAGAGGCAGAGATGTCCACTGCAGGCAGTGGGGGATGGGAGAGGTGCCCCTAGTCCTTGTTGCCCCCCAGTTCCTTATAGCAGCTGCTAGGCTTCTTGGAGCCCATGTTCCTTGGTGTGGATAACCACTGTAATCCACCGTGGAGGGCTTAGCCCAGAGGGGCCAGACTGGACCTGTCAGCCATCTCCAAGAGGCAAGGACAGATGCTGTTCCCCAGGGCTCCAGGGGACCAGACCCACAAGGCCTCAGAGGAAAGCCCTCAATGTCACCTACTTTTGTTCCCAAACCATTCCCTTGCAAAAGTCAAACTCAGAGAGACTCAGGCCCCACAAAAGTAAGTGGCAGAGAAGATGGAGCTGGTGCTAAAAGTGACAGAGAGGATCCCTGGACAACTACTGGCTTCTGAGGACTTGCCCCTGGGCCCCATTTTGCAAACGAGGATGAGAAGCCTAGCAAGAAGCTTTGTCTCAGTTCACCTGCAAGGTGTGGCAAACTGTGGGACTGGAATCTGGGTCAACAGGGAAGTCGAAGGTCTCTGATGAGTTGCTGGGAGGAGAGGAGACAGTCTGAGGGATGAGGACAGCTGCTGGCCTTCATGGAGAGGCCCCTTCTCCTGCTGGACACTCAGTTTCCCACCAGTCATAGCCCACCCAAAGACAACGCTGTCCCCCACTCCTAATCCTCCTGTCTGCTTCTTCCCAAGAGCCCCAGCAATTGGACACATTTTCAAAATTCTCAGGCTGCTGCTATTTCCTCCTCAAATTCCTCCTCGCCCCAGCCACCCCAAATCCCAGCCATGAGGAAGAGACTCCACTGCCATGGACGGCATCTCCAGGCGGGGCTTCGTCTAGTACAGGGTGGATGAAGCAGCAGCTGCTGTGCCTGGGCAGCTGTGAGGTGTAGGGGTGCCAGGGAGAAGAGCCCCGATTACCAGGCTGTCATGGGAAAGCTGTAAAGGAAAGCTACCCAGAGGCCTTTTGCCGGCGGCCCCATTCCACTCTGCCTGGATTTCTGGCCTCCAAGTGCCCTAGGGAGAGGCAGATGGGAGTCCCAGCTGGGGACACTTGTGTTCTGCTGGCTACAGGCTCTGCCAAAAATGTCCATCTGCCTGTGCTGGAGTTACCTGACTCTAAGCGTGGGTACCAGTTCTTTAGACAAGGCTTTGCTCAATACATCATTAGGACAGGGCCAGTCCACACCCGGGAGTCTCTGAGCAGCCCAATCGCCATACAAGTACCCTGCATGTTCTTCAGGAAGGGCTTATCATGAGAATAATGCCTTCCTGGACCTGGGTACCAGCTGGCTGCCAGGCCATAGCCCTGAGGCAAGAAAGGCCTGGTGGGCAACCCTAGCCAGGTGGGCATGAGGATTTGTGGAGTTGATTGATTGTCAACCCCCTTTGCCCATGTGTCCAGGAGGACCTTGGGGAGGACACATTCTGAGCTCTCTGGGAAGTGGTCAAGGGGCCGCGTGGTGACCGCCTAGAGAGACAAGAAAGGTTTACTGAAGATAACGGGAGGAGGGAGTGGCAGGCACAGCTAGACCCTGGACCTCAACCTCTCCTGGACTCTCTTGGGCGGGCTGGCGTCTCTGGGGTCGCTCCCAGTCAGCCTGTAACTGTGTAACCAGTGTCTTATCACTAGGTGTAGAAATGCTCACAGCCTGGTGGGCTGTGGGGGCCGGACTGCCCTCCCGCCCGCCGGCCCCACATGTCATTATCGGCAAGTATTCTAGCGGTCTCAGCCTTTGTTCTTCCCATCACCGGCCCAGCCTTGATCCCTAGCTGCCCCCCACGCCTGCTGCCTGCCCTTTGCCCCCCCTCACTGCAGCCAGATCGAACCCCCACCCAGCCCTTCCTGCCTGAGGCCCTGACATCCCGCCAAAGGCGTCCATCTTTGCTTTTCTTTTTCTCCACTTCATTTCATGACAGAAAGGAGAAAGTTTTCTCTGCATGCCACAATGGAACCCCCAACCCCAAGCAATGTAGCCAAAAGGGATTCTTGAGCTGGGACCACTAGGCCATCAGACTATTCACTAAACCACCCTCTCTCCCCATGGACCCTTTTCCTGTGGTTTTGAAATCTAAATGAAGCTCTGCATTGTCCCTGCCCTGCCTGGTGTCCCTCCACCCAAGAGAGGATCTTTAATAGGGCCAAACATACTGAAGACGCTGGTCCCATGTGCTCAAGGGGCAGGTAGCTTTTATACACCACATGTTTCCATATCTTGCCAAGATGTCCACTGCTGGCCTATCTAGGGCAGGGTAGCTCCCTTCACCCAGGAAACTGGAAGCTAGGACACAGAGGGACCACAGGTGAGAGGAGAGAGATCATATCTCCTGGAAGGAGGTGAGGGATCACCAGGACACCTGGAGGTCCTAATTCTCCTTAGAGATGACACCGAGAGACACCACTCTACATACAGGCACAGAGAACAGGATTCTTGGTCTCTGTGAACCCACTCCTTCATATTGCACTGTAGGCCTTTTTTTTTTTTATTGTGGCATGGTATATAACAGACTAGACCATGCAAGTACATAGCTTAGTGGTAGAAGTCATGTGCCCAATGCTGGGCAGTGTCTGGGTAGTTCATCTTCCTTCCCTGGCTGCAATGCCAAGGCTCTCAGCTTGTTTGCTCTCCTAAGTTGAGAGGAGATGCAGAGGTGGTCCTGCGTGGTCAAGGAACTGGGCATCATCTTACCTCCAGGCAGAAAGCATGAGATGAACTAGAGCCAGGAGAGGCATGGTAGAAGAGGCCTAGGCCCAGCAGAACCTACAGCTATGTCCTGGAGATGAACACAGAATAGGCCCTGCAACCTGACCCAGGCCTGCCCTGGGTCCCACCTGCCGGCCAGGGTTCCTGCACAACCCTGACAGCTGAGGAGTCACACCTTCCCAACTCTGGTTGTCATTAGTTGCTCCTGGCGGGAGGTGGAGGGGTGGAGGCTTGGCCCCGCAGCCAGCAAGGATCGAGGCTCACGTGGGGCCACCTGGACCTCATTATTCTTAAGTGGTCCAGTCTGAGTCTGGGGAGAGAAGAGAGAAGGCTGCCCCACCCCCACACTTCAGCCAGCACACTGGGGCCTGCTACCATGATGGAGCACTGAACCCAGAAAGAAATCCATAGAGGGCTCGGCCCCAGAAGAAATAGACTGAAGGACTTTACTGGTCAGGGGCTGAGCAAGACAAAAGGAATTTGGGACTGAAGTGGTACAGGAAGTAAGGCTCTGTTACTTCCTGTCACTTAAGGTTCCTCTGTCCTTCCCAAAGGTGACCTGGGATGTTTAAGAACAAGGCCACTACTGTCACCCTGTTACTGATAGATAGGAAGGGTTTAGAGCATTTCCCCCACAGGAACACCTAAGAAAGACCCCCTGCCCTCTGCTGAACCCCTGTCTAAAAGCAGAAGGGTGCCTCCCAGGGACCCTATAACCAATGATGGAGCTGGAATGATATTAAAGGGGCCAGCAAAGGGGTGGCACAACATGGAACCCAAGACCCAAGTTCTTCCATTTGTTCTCTGGCTCAAGGTATATCCCCAAGATACCCCACCAACATCCAAGGACAATCTCAGTCTACAAAAGAGCAACTTGCTTTACATGTAGGAAGGGTGAGCTTGGCTCTCAGACCAGTTGCCAGATCGAAGCTTCCACTTTGATCAAACAGTGGGTAGAAAAGGGGACATCTATCAGTGTTGGGAATCTGGGGTAGATGGTTAAACAGAACCCTTGGGTCTTGACTCAAGCCTGCTATTCTTTGAGGCTATCTTGGGACATCCACATTGAGAGTTCCTGTATACCTCCATGTACACAGGGGCTAGGACCAGGCTCTCTGTCCCATCCTGTGAAGCCACAGGAATCTGCAAGGGGTTGCTAGAGGGAAGGCAAGCATGGGTACAATGGGTAGGGCAGGGTGGGGCAGGGCGGAGCTGGGCATCTGTGGGAGGCTGACCTGAGCAAGGAGACATTGGCGGACCGATGGCATCATCACCTTCATGTTTTGACACACTGGGTGAATATACACTAAATGAAGCACAAATTAGCACAGCCAAGGGAGAGTCAATTGTGTCCCTTCTTCTTAATCCCTTTGGCTTAGGGTTTCCCCAGCCTGGACAGACTGTCCGAGGGGAAGGCTGCCCAAGGGCACTCGGGCATCCGTCCGGGGACATTTAGGCAGTGACCAATCCCAGGCCGCCCCGTTGTGTGCCCTGAACTGTGGGCCTTTTCCCAACCGGCCACTGTGGGGGAGCAGCCATTGTGGGTCCCCTGGTCTTAGAGAGGTGGTCAAGGATGGGGCAGGGATAGAGATCAGCATGAAGTCATGCCATGGCTAGAAGAACATGAAGGGCGAGCAGAAGGACATCTCTCAGAGCTAGCCCTCATCTCTCACTCTCAGCACCAAAGCCGAAGACCACTACAATCCACAGCCCAGCACGGCCACCATCACATCTTGGCTGATCAGCTCAAGACAGGTCAATATCAAGATGTTCAGGATGGATCTCTGGAGCTGAAGACAATGAGCCCTCAATGACTCTTGGGGTCTGGCCCCAGCACTCGAGGGCTAGGTAAGTGCCCAATGGGGGTCTCTGAGGACTTGAGGGATCACCTAGGGAGCCAATCTAGGCCAAACATCTTGTGGGAGACAATTGCCTCCCTGTGAGGACCACACAGGAGGCAGTTACCAGTATCCAGATCTGTTAGTTGCAGGTACTAGCAGCCTCTCCTGCAGAGGGGATACCCTCCTCACCAGTCCCCAACGTATCAAGGCCTGGAGGGTCTTGTCCTGGCTCTAGGGGTTTCCCCCATATCAGAATGCATCCCCAGCCCCATCCAATTCCATTACTTCCCTTCCTCCTAGCTTGCCTTGGAGATACAGAACAGAGAGGCTGCTCCCAGCCCCTAGTCTCAGAAGGGTGCCCATCTGAGCAGATAAGTCTGCCTGTACCCGGGACAAGTTAGTCGCCCCCACTGTTCTGCTCTGAAGGCCAATTGGCCTTGGGATAAGCAGATCTCACCCGGAAAGAGCCTTGTGCCCCTCACCCTAATCCCCTGGCCCCTGGAGCCCAGCAGGCTGGAAGCTTTGACCTAAGCAAATAATTAGTCCAGAGACTGGAAGGCTCAAGGGGATCGAAGTCAGGAATCTGATCTTTGTTCCCTTCCTTTATTCTTCTTCCCCTTCCCCCTTTAGGTCTTGAGATAACCAACCTCTTGTGTGTATGCTTTCTTCAGACACTCTCCAACCCAATCCAGCAGAGATGGGTGGGGTGGCACCTCATTCAGTACCAGAGCTAATGTCCAGAGAACAGAGAGCTATGGGATACGGGGTCAACCAGTGGGGACAAGATGGGGCCTCATCACCCCAGGGAGCGCTAGGACTACCTTGTATGCAAGGAACCTTTGGGAACATGGCAGGGAAGAGGGACTGCCTAGGTTCCTAGATCCTCTTCATGCCTCATCTTGACCAAGTCTCTTGAGATGAGGCCTCCTTCATCCAAACAGGACTCTTCCTGGTCTCAACCAGCCATGGGCAGACCCAATCCCTAGAGCTCAGCCACTTCTGGAGACAGCCCTCCCATTGTCTACTACCTTGGGACCCCTTTCCGTCTCATCTCCCCAAGTCTCTTGGGTGGGACTTGCAAGAGAGGAAAGTGGGTCCAGGATCCCCAGCTCAGGTTCACCTATCCCACCTTACCCCACACCAGCACATGGATTACCTTCTACCACCCCCCAAGACACAGAAATATCTTTTCTTCCTCAACTTGCTAACCTTGTGTCTTGGTGTCTGATACAGGGCACTCTGGCTACTGACTGCTCAGCATTCCAGGTCCCAGGCCAGCTTAGGGTCCCCGCTACCTCTAGCCCCGAAGAACACATGGTCATAAAAAACAAAACAAAATGAGACACAAACAAACAAACAAACAAAAAAGGTGCCCATCCTGATGGTAGCTCTGGCAGGAACAGAATACTTTTTCCTCTAGACAAATTTGGGAATTCTTTCTATCTTGCTGATCTTTTCTTCTGTCCTTCATTCTATCAGAATATCACCCTCCCCTAAAACTACCCCATGGGTCCCAGCCATATTCGGCAGCCTACTTCTTTCCCTTAATGTGTTTCTACTTTTACTCTTTCCAAAATCCTTCTCTGAAGTGTTCACTTGGCTCCTGTTAAGCCCCTCCACCTTCCCCAAGTACTCTCACCTGCTGGGCTAGGCCTGGTCCTATCAATCCAACAGTCCCTCTTCTTCCTGGAATTTTTCATTTCCCCTCCTCACATGATAGCAGGAGGGTCAGAAGGAAGATGATGGCACAGGAGACTCTGGGCCAGTATATAATGGCTTGGAGACTTCCTTGAGGGGATAGACTCAGGGGAAGGGCAACAGGGAGCTTTGCCATCAGAAAAGCTTAAGAAAGGGCTTCATCCGGGGACACAGGAGCTAAAGAGAGCTGGAAAAGGTCTTGCCTTGGAGCTGGGAAGGGCTAGTATGTGGGTTCCCTGAAGCCAGGCTCACCATGAGCAGAGGGAGAACCATCCACCACCCTTATGCTGATCACTGGGAACAGATGGGCATCGCTTCACCTTGTCAGACAACTAACACCACTGCTCTTGTTATAGTATGGCCACAGAGTCCCACTGTACCCTTAAGATCAGCAATAGCACTGGACTTTGGGCTTACAGCTGATCATGGACATTCTTTGGCAGCAAGGGAGGTGGACTCGGGGGTCTAGGATCAACCCAACCACCACACCAGGACTACCAAGGTCTTACTTGAACAAGACTCCCATCCCAAGAGGTGCTTCGCCAGGCTCCAGATCCCACCTCCCGGGCGGGAGCCACCACCAGGGTGTTGAACATGTCTAGGGTGCCCTTCTTCATGGGCTTGCCTGCCCTTGCTGGAAGAGAGAGGAAACAAGCTGCTCCTGGATAGACGGTGCTCCAGTCATTTTGCCCTCCACTGGCCTTCAGGAGGGTTGTGTGGGTAAGAATGCCAGGGAGAAGCAGAAGAGAAGATGAAGGGATCTCAAAGCGCAGAGGGGGAGGCGGGATACTGCAAAGATGAGGAGGAAGCAAGGACAAACATGGCTGGGTCTGGCACATAGTGGCCTGCGTAGTTGTTGGCCTTGGCCAACTCTGCCTCTTAAGGAGTGCTGTGCCTCACTGGTCAACCTCTGACTGCTACATGTGAGCTTTGTGGACAGTGCTGACCAGCTAAGTCCCATGGGCCAAGCCAGGCTCCAAGGGACAGGAAGGAGCTCAATCTCAGTGCCTGGCCTCAGACACTGCCGAGCCGTCTCCCATTTCCAGGGCACCCGGGGACGGGCAAGGCCTGGATGCTCAGCCGGGCACTGATTGTCACTGGGGGAGGAGGTTAAACATCTCCCCTCCCCTCCAATCCTCCACCCTGGTCACTTAGCTACTTTCCCACTTCAGTTTCCAAGCCCTTGAGGAGCACATCTCTTAGGAATTGACAGGATGAATCCCCTACATTATACTTCAGCCACTGCAACTCTCTAGGATCTCACTCATGGAAGCAAACCGGGTTTCAGAGCCAACTAACTCCTTCCAGGAGAACAAGGGTGGGACTAGGCAATCCCACTCACCCCAGTCTGGCAGGAAAAGGTGTTAGGGGATAGCCGAAACACTGAGATCTGGCAGGTAACAGGCAGATGGGAAAGCCATGCTTGTGCTCTTAGCTGCCTTCTCTAGTCATAGATATCATCCTCTAGGGCTCAGAAGTATGGATGGACACTGACTGGGAGTCATGGGTCAGGAGATAGTCAGGTTGGGCATGCATGTCTTTCTGAGACTCAGGGAAGGGAATCACTGTGAGAGGAGAGAGGCCAGAGGTAATTATGGTTCTGCTAATTTACAGATGTCTTTTCCCCAAGGCTTCACCTCTCTGGAGGAAGGGGGGATGCTGGTGGTGGAAGCTTGGACTTGATTTCAGTAATCCCTCAGGGAAATTATAATACGGAGCAGAAAGGGACCTTCCATCTGCTCATCAAAATGATGCTGAAAACAACAAACTGAGCAAGGGACCGGGTGACTGGGTAGGCAAATTCCTGCAGTCCCAGGGGTTGTCAAAGGGGTTCACAGGGGCCTTAAGGGACTAGGGAGGTGTTAAGGTGCTTGCAGGGGGACTAGGGGCCTGCGGACTAGGACAATGGCAGCTAGTTAGCTACTCATCCAATAGCAATGGGGAGGGAGGTAAGGACAGACGTGAAAGACTGGACAAGAGGCAAGGCCCATCTAAGGGCCTAAAAAAATCAGGACAAGTGGCAGGTGCCTGATGTCTGCGGCAAAGTTGGCAGGACCCACACAGCCCACACTTGAGGTGCCAAGGCTGAGGGTTCTGACAACAGGGAGACTGGAAGGCAGCTCTGCTTAGAACTAGGGTGAGCTGAACCTGGTGCACAGCCCAAAGAGTACCCTGCCCCCACATCTCAGCCTCCTGCCTGCCTGCCCTCCCACCACCCGCTTGGGCCTTCTGGATTCCATCAGGTACCACAGCAATCTGGCTGTGACATAATGAGGCAGGCTGGGGTCAGCGGGGTGACCTTTCATGGCCCCAATGTTTGGAAATCCCCAAATCAAAATGACCCAACAGACAAGCTTGAGAGTAGATTTCCCAAGTGGCCCCTTCAATTACCAAGAGAGGAAAACAGCAGGCCCCAGCCATCACCAATCTTTGCAGACGGGTTAACTCGGGACTGGAGAAGTCCCGAAGCAGGCATGCCCAGCTTTAAGCAAAGGTGAGCCAGGCTGACTGGAGACTACACACACCAAGCAAAAGGCCAGCGGAGGGGTGCATGATTGAGGGGTCCAGCGCCCATGATTCTGCAGGCTCTGATACCCACCTGTAGGATATAGCAGATACGAGTTTGGGGCAGAATGGAGGCCACGAGAGGGTTAACTTATAATAATAGCTCAGGGCAGGGGACACTAAGGGCTGAGTGAGGCAGGGTTGCAGGACAGCCACCCCCAGTCCAAAGTTTTGTGTGCCAACATTCTTCTTTTGTGTCCTTCCTCTCCAGGTGTCACTTGAAAACCCCCTCCACACACACGCACACTTCAAACTTCATACAAAAAAGCTTCACGCTGAAAATTTAATGTAGAAACCCTGTAATCGCTTTTCCAGAGATAAGACACGGCCAGGAGGGGAACCCGATCCCTGTAACACAGAAAGCAGTCAGGGAGGCAGGGTCTGAGGCTGTGAGGCACAGGCTGCAGGGTTGGGAGTGGGAGTGGGGGTAGGCAACAACAAGAAGGCCGCCTTGGGGGCACATCCACAATGGGGACACTTGAGCCTTCTAGAGGCTATTGGCCTTCTGTGTACACAGTCTCTCCTTCTTTGGGCAGGACCCTTCTGCCTCAGGAAGCTCAAGTTTCGCAATGACGCCATGGCCTCTTGACCAGCAGCCTCAGAGACTAATTTGGGGTCCTGGAAGGCTCAGGTTGGGAACAGCTAATCTGCTAAGGGCAGCTAGGCGAGCAGGGTGTATGACCTCTCATGCCAATGTCCTGTTGCCTCCTGGTCAGCAGCGCCACCACTGGTAAAGACTTGGGGACACCATGCTCCCGCTGCCCCTATCCACCACATGGCCCTGGGTGCATACAGCCCTTAAACTGACCAAGGCTTGGATGTAGACACTGGAGATCAAGAACTGGCTCATCCCTTGGCATAAGCCTCCAAAGACAAAGAACCTAAAACTCCTGGCTCTTGCCCCAGCCCCCTATCTCCTGTGAGCAGATCCAGCTCATCATCTAGGTCATTCCCCACCCAGAAAAAATATCAGAAAACAGGGTAGGAGAGCACAGAGCCTGAGACCTCCCTGCCGGGAAGGTATGGGATGGGGGTGGGCTGCCCTGGCGGGGCCTGGGTGTGTTTGCGCCAGACCTGCAGCTCTGCAGCAGCATTCCATGGGCGGGGGTGGAGGAAGGCGCCATGTGGAACCAACTGGCCTGGCTTGGGGGCAGGAGGCCCCCCAAGCAGTGAGCGCGGCTGGGCTTGCCTGCGCCTCTACTGCCCCCTTCAGGTGGCCCAAGGCTCAGGACCAGCTCCCCTAGAGACCCTGCTGAGCACTCTTGATGGAGACTCAGCCACCCCAACAACTGGAACCCTATGTCTAACAGAAGGAAGGAAGACACAGAGATCTCTAGGGGTTTCGGGATGGGGGTGCTGTCCTTTGAATTAGTGGTCCCAAGCCCTCCAGAATTCAGTGGGCTGGGGACACAGTTCTGTAAGTAGAGTGATTGCCTAGTACATGTGAAACCTTAGGTCTGATCCCCTGCGTTGCATAAACTGGACATGGTGGCACATTCCTGCAATCTCAGAACTGGAGAGGTGCAGGCAAGAGAATGTGATGTTCAAGGCCATCATCAGCTATATTACAAGTTCAAAGTCTGTTTCAAAACTGAAACAAACAACAAAACCCAAAAACATGGGGTAGAGAGATACCACATAGCTCTGTATGTGACCCCAAACCTTGGGAGCCCTGACCTCTATACAAGGCTACACTCATCCAAGCCCCTCACTGACTTACTAACTTGGGTGGGTTAGGCAGGAAAAGGCAGGGCACAGATGGCCAAGCAGGACTTGCACAAAACCATTACACACTTCTCCCAAACTTGGTCATATCTCTCTTGTTGTCCACCCCACCAAGAAGACATCGGAGGCCTGAGGTTACTGTTTGCCTGTCCCTCCCAGTGTTGCCAGGACAATGATACAGAGGCCCAAAAAGGAGTCATATCTCAGAGGTGACCGAATGGTGCTGGGGGCCCAGTGCCAACATCAGGTGCCCTGTACCCTATTAGGACTCTCATACCCTGGCCCCAGCCCTTTCAAACCCACCGAGAATATTCCATGAGCTCCATAGGCAAGCATGTGGCTCAGTATGCCAGACTAAGTCCGCCAGACTGGCGCCAGCTCTTAAGCCCCATGTCCCCACCTGGTCACCCTGTCCCTTTTTGGAGCCTCTGGCCACTTAGCTTTCAGATCGTTTCCCAAATGGGAACGCCCTGACCTTTTCCACTATATCTCCGCAACTCCACAAAAGGGTGTTTTATCTGGCACTCCTATCTACAATGCTTCTCTTCACCCTGGGGTCTTCCCAGTCTTCAGTCCCCACAGTTGTCACCGCAGTCGGTGGGTAGGGAAGGAAAGGATATGGGAGGGTAGGAGGAGGAACTTGAGAGGAAGCAGGAACATATAAGCAACCTTGTCCTGTTTCCCAGCCAGGTTATGAATGAAACAACAGACCGGGAGAGCTAGGTGACCTCTCTCAGTCCCTTTCTGGGACCCCTGCAGGTTTTATGGCCTGGGGTCCCAAGAAATCGTCCCTGAAACCTCCCAAGGTCTGGAAACAAGAAGCACTACTCTAACTGGGGGCATATTGATGGACAGGAGCAACTGTGAACACTCCAAGAGGTATTTCTATTTCAGCAGAGGACGGCTGGGGCGGGCTTCCCGCCATCTCGAAGGCCATCCGATATTTTCGGATAAAGGACATTCCTGGCATCCTTCATCACCCTCCTTAGGCAGCTGTTGGCTCCTTTTATCCCAGCACAAGTGGCCATGTCCTCCTCAAACCCCAAAGGGGGCTCGGAACACATACTTTTCCCGTTATGTACCAGCTGAGGGGCCAAGGAGGATTTAGCTCGGGTGAGGCCCAGGGTCCAGCAGGCAGGGCTGTTCTGGGAGGTGAAGACAAGCCAAAATGGGGGGAACAGCTGCTCCTAACCCCAGAGGGCTGGCTGAACCTCGAGCCTGGGATTTATTTTTAGGAGGCCATTTCCAGACTTTAGGCTGCCTCAACCCAAGGACACAGAGACAAATTCAGAATGCTCACACAACAGGGTACCCCTATATCTGAATGGCTCCTCAAATCTAAGAGTGCCCAGTGGGTTGTCTGGTTCTGGTCTTCGGGACAAGTGGGCCCATTCTTTGGTTGGTCATAGTTTCCAGCAGTACATTCATTCACAACTGCACCTTAGCATGAGCCCCAATGTCCCCCGGGTCCCCAGACCCAAGCCAGTTGCTCCTTCCCGAGACATGCATAAACCACTCACTTAAGGCTACTCAGCTGACTTGGGGGCATAGGGAAAGTCAGATTTCTGCAGTCAGGGTACCTGTGTCCCAACCTCTGGAAACTGGGGAAGTGGACACCTTCTAAGAGAGTCAAGTGACAGCAGTGTGGAGAACTTCAGGATGAAGTCCCCAAACCAGACAAGAGACGCAGCAGGACCCTAAGACCTCTACAGGGTCCCTGCCAGCTTCAGAACAATGATATTGCTTTAACACAGAGCCCTTCCAGTTACCTCCAGCCCAGTGAGAGATTGCTTTGGGGGCTGGGCATAGTATTGCAGAATA